TATTCAAGAGTTAAATCAGCGATTTTATTGCCGTTTACTCAATGATGTTGCTCGATAAGAAGTACGAGTACCGAGACGTTTATGCTCTCTCACCGGCTTTATGTGTATACTTGTATGTATAATCATAGCAACGTATCATCGTTGGCACACGAACGGTAGCTGTCACTAATAAATTGAATATAGCTACTGTGTGTCGATGTGAACCTGAGCGTGCATAAATCTGATAGATTCGTGTCGTGTGGATGGAATGGGATGGAATACCTCCCATATAAAATGCGGATGGATTTTTGCCGTTTTCTTACTTCATGTCAATACATCTCCAGCGTCTTCTGCTGATGAAATCCATTCAACAGCAAAATATCTTTCATTGAATTATGTACCGACATTTTCTTAGCTACGTATCGAAAATCTCAAATAGCAAATGCATTAAACATTAACAAGAACCTCCTTCATTTTCAGAAAATTGGTATATATGCGGAGCCCGGCCAACCAAAATTCAAATTATTATTAATTGTGTTGGCGCAGTGAACGAGAGAAAGAACATTTGAATGCATAAATTAGATATAGAAATTTGATAATTTACTGAATATCATTCAGGGGGGCCATCGTTGACGAGCCATAGTAAAAAATATAGATAACTCTTCCGTGTTGTGTGGCGTCTGGCATGTTTTTGTTTGAATTCACCATAATGAAAACATATTTAACACTAAATCAGATTACCCCATACTATCTGCGGTTCCGTCTCAAACCATAATTTTATTGGCGAATTGGCATCGACATTGAACCATGGCTTGGGCTTTCTTTCACACCCAAGTGATATGATTTAGGCCATATTATATTATTGTATATGAGAATGATGATGAGAACGTGTGTCACCGAGCAAAATTAACAGTAACATTGAATCCGTTATATATTTCTCTTTTCTTGTCATGCATGTGACAAAATACTTCTGAGAATATCTATTCATATGTATATTTTTACTGAATGTTTGTGTGTTGCATGATTTTTCTATAAACGAATCAAATTCTCAATGCTCAGATCTGTGTTTGAAAATTGAAATAAACATCTTTGTCCACCAACCTCCCTCCCCTCTATCACAATCGCATTCCGTTGCCAAAGGAATGCTGAATATATATATATCATAATTGGATGCTTTATTGATCATATTGAATTGAGCTGCACGAAACCTTTTTGGCAGAGTTCTCAACAGGCTCTAAAGGTGTTTGATAAAGCAATGAAGTCGAGCCTTGTCGGCCCGTCCAGCCTTTGTGTATTCTATTGTGATTGCATTGATAAGATAGTCCAAGGATAATTGAAGAGCATTTTACCGTGATAGCACAGACCGTCTTGTACATTTCCTTTGAACTGTTCTATGTGTTGACACGTGAATGCATTCTTATTAATATTCACCATGCAACTGTAGACCATATTGGCTAGTGAATCGCGGCAAAATGATTGGAAAAAACGAGATCGGAATCATGTATGAATGCGAAAGTGTATGGCATAATTTTGTGCATATATGAGCTTGGCTTTGCAACATATGGATGGGCATTGTTATGTGTATTTGAATGTGAATTGTAATCCTGTTGTTATTTATGGAGAAAAAAAATTATTCAAAGAAGAGTGGGCAAAAAAACACGCATTTGACCACGCTGAAGAAAGGAGAAGAAGTTGAGAGCAGAAAAAACAACATATATCGAGTATAACCTTTAGGTGGTGGTGGGCACAGGCTCAGGCACTGGCACTGACACACACAATAAACGTGAATAAATATGTTCAATATTGGTTAGTGTTTTTTGACGTGATGTATTTAAATTGTCGGTCAAGTTCAAAAGAATCACAATTTTTCTCTTCTCTCTTTCGCTCGTTCTCACTTTGTGTGATGTGATTCCTTTTTTGGTCGCTTTTTCCCATTCGCTTGCTTTTTTTCTCTTCTGAAAAATATTTTTGTGAAGTGAACGTATAGATGATGGTATTTCTTCTTCAGCGTCGTCGTCAATTTTTGTTCTCCTCTTCTGTCGAGAGAGAGAGAGAGAGAGAGAGAGAGAGAGAGAGAGAGGGCAAAGAATTCAAACGTGCCGACGGCTAACTAAAGCACGGATATATTCATCACATCAGTGGAAAAGGTATATATGGAATTAAATATCAAAAATTTGTATGAATTGTACACGTAAATCTACATATTAGAACCCATTAAAAATCAATTGGATTTTTTAATGTTTCATGGTGGTGATGGTGGCAATGTCGGTGGTAAATGTTGATCATTTATGACTTACCTAAAAATAAAATGCCGGGAAATCATTCAAACAAATACCATCAATTGTCAGGTGACTGAAGATGTCTCGTGGTGTGACACACTCCGAATAAAAAAAAACGCTATGCATTGCAATGGGCTGTACATGATATTTTACGTGGAAATAGATAGGTGTTCTTCTTCTAATACCGCCAATTTCAAACATTTTCATAACTCAATCATGGAATGATGTAGAATACAAATTGGGAACATTTCATGGCAACGTTTTGCCCTCATAAAAATGAATATACTTGCAACTTAAATTGAACTGGGTTGAACGTTGAACAGGCGGATGGCATTTATCCGAATAAATCGTCATCATCAACTTTATGATTATCTTTTCTGGAAATAATTTATGAGTTTTTATCGTGCAATCTATTCACGGATGAATGCAGAATGTCGTAAATGAATCGGCTCTTCAAATAAAACGCTTTGAAATTCATTCAGAAACATTTCCCTGAATAGGATTTATTTCAGCCCGTTATCAATGTCGTTTGTGTAAATTGAATCAGGAGAAAAAAAAAACAAATACTACCAACGACCTACGATAGTAAACAGAAAGTAGCAGAGAGAAAATACTATTTGCTTGCAATTTCTCGAGCGATAAAGATCAAAGTCAAGTAATCGCATTGCTTCTATTCATCTATTGAGTCAAATACATCAAACATATAGAGTAAGATTTAAGTTGGCTTTTTGTTTGCCCTCAGTTTTAACTCGGAATTACTCTTCCTTTTGTTTTGTTTTGTTGGCTGGCAAGTTGCAAAAATAAATAATAAAAAAAACACAGGCAAGCCAGCAAGTAGACAATTCTGTGAATGAAAATGACACGGGAAACTATCGAAGGACATCTATAGTACACGAGTGTTGAATATCAAGGATACTGTTTTGTTTGGTATTTGTTTATTTTATTTTTTTCATTCTTTACTTCGATATATATGCCAGATCGGTACGCGTTGATGCTTTTGTTTGTTTTGTGTCAACTACCTATTATATCGACAGTTCAATGGATGGTATTTGTGTAAACATCGCTTTTTTACATCATTCTCTCTCTCACACACTCTCTCTCTCTCTCTCTCTCTCTCTCTCTCTCTCTCTCTCTCTCTC